AGGTGATTTTTTTTGCATGATGTAGCAGAGGATATACAAAGCAAGCAATCGGGAAAGACAACCTGGAAGAGGCCAAGTGCAGAATAGAAATCCTTAATTTTAACGATGACTTGACCTCCAATGATATTTATATACACTTTCCCCTCCCCCACAAAAAGTCACTTACCTGCCCCTTCCTCCACTCCAGTAAAGGTTATGGGTATACGGTTTGCATTAGATAATTGTCATAAAGAAAATGTCATTCTTTTTCATCATCCTCTATTTTCATAATGTAGGTATTTTTCTTCCCTCTCATCTGCATGCCTGTATTACACGATCCTGAAGTGTGTGAGCTCTAAACCATGTGCTATTGAGTCTTGCATGTGGTTTTGAGAGCTTGACTTTGCATGAACTTCTTGTTTGTATACAGTGTCTACATTTCTCATCTTGTGACTGAAAAGTGAGTAAAAAAATCAAAGTGCAAGGTAACTGAAAACTCAGCAAATGGAAGATACTTGCTAATTGAGCAGGCTGTGCAAAACCAAGTTGATTAGAGAAAAACAATTGTACTCTTAGACTATTGAGGTAGAAAAATATCTAAGTAGATTTTTTTTACCTCCAAAAACACTGTTAAAATCTCTGTGTCTTGTCAGTTAATTGTTTACTAAGTGTAATATAATAATTTAAAGTTATATAAATGTGTGTATTGTGATACATAAAAGTACATCAAACTGTTGTATCTTTCACCAGCATTCCATCTTATTTCATTTAAGTATAACCTTAAATATAATTTCTCATGAAACATTTCAGGTCATTTTTTCTCTTCAGCCAAATGCGGTTCAAGATGTCCGGTCATACTGCAGAAATTGACCTAAAGTTATTTTTCATAACCCAAAATATTTGATTCCTTAATAGATCACAAAACATAGGAACGAATTAACCTAAAATGTGCAGCCACATTCCTTATTTCCTGCATCTTTTGTTTATTTTGTGAAACAGCAATTGCCAGAATGTTCCAGGACCAAAAGCATGCCAGTTGAACCAAATGGTTCAGAGTGCAAAAGGAAGAGGGTCAGGATAGTGAAACTGGTGAAAGGAAGGTGTTCTTTTGCATCTGATGTCAGGCTTAGGAATAGTATAAATTATCT